GGAGGTAGTGACAGGGGAGTCGGCCTGCAGTGGGAGTGGACTGGTGGCCACGGGAGGTAGTGACAGGGGAGTCGGCCTGCAGTGGGAGTAGACGACTGGCCATGGGAGGTAGTGACAGGGGAGTCGGCCTGCAGTGGGAGTGGACTAGTGGCCACGGGAGGTAGTGACAGGGGATTCGGCCTGCAGTGTGAGTGGAATAGTGGCCACGGGAGGTAATGACAGGGGAGTCAGCCTGCAGTGCGAATGGACTAGTGGCCACGGGAGGTAATGACAGGGGAGGCAGCCTGCAGTGCGAATGGACTAGTGGTCACGGGAGGTAATGGCAGGGGAGTCAGCTTGCAGTACGAATGGACTGGTGGCTACGGGAATGATCGAGAATAGCAGCGTGGCCAGGTGACGGAAGAGGACGGTAGAGTCTGCTGGTGGAGCGAGCGGTCTAGAGCCAGCGTGAAGGTTCGGGAAGGGGAGATGGGCGGGAGACTCGGGACTGTTGCAGTGGGGTCTCCGCCTGTTTGAGTGAACGTGTCTCTTCAATAAAGAAACCATCTCAAGACAAGTGTGTCAAGTCATCATTACACAACTACACATCACGTTCGTTCGTTTGTCTTGGTGAGGGTCGCGGCCGCGGCAGCGTGTTGAGTAGACTCTAGCACTACATTACTATACACTACTCTACTATACATTAGTACACAATACTACACTATACACAATACACTACTCTACACTACTACACAATACACTACTATACACTACTACACAATACACTACTACACTATACACTACTACACAATACTATACACTACACTACGATACACTGGGACAATTCCCAAGCGTTCCCAGGTCAGCAAAAACAACGTCCTCCCGCCAGCATGTCCTGGGCCGGCCCCGGGGTCTTCGCCCAGGGGGTCGTGAACATTACGACTCAACATTTTCACCAAGCATTATTAGACGTCACGACACGTTCCGGAAACGTTCCCCAACGCTTACGAAGCACACCCATAGCGCCTTCGCGATGCGCTCATAAGCCTTTGTGCTGTAAAGATGCACACGTGCTTACACCAAATGTATAATTGTTATATTATTCAAATGTGTCCCGAGTCAATTTACGTCGCAGGAATTATTCTGCGGACGAGGATTTTCTCGTGCGGTATTTTCACTTGCCCTATGCAGTGGTTGCAACATTTGGTCACATTGTCTTCTTCACTGCTGTGCCTGCATTCAATGTTATTGATGTCGTCACTACAGCTCCCCACGTGCCCTCTTGCTAATGGGTCCCATCCTGGTCTCTCGAATTCCCAACTTGCAAACCCCTACCCGAACCACCGTGGCCAGGAATCGAACCCGTGACCCCGCCCACCCCCCCCTCCCGGTGGCGCTTGTGCCGGGCTAGGTGCACTTTGAGGCCTTCACGTCAAGACTTGCAGGCAGCGCGTCCGGTGGTTACAAGTTGACCGGCGAAGGTGACTTTCAAACGCACCAACCTGCGGCTCCCCGCTTTTAACGACCCCACCGTGCATTGCGCGGCAAAGATCCACCCGCGTGCAGCCTGAACAGACTGTTGGGGCGAGTGCTGTTAGCGAGCGGCACCTGTGAAGGCCGGCCCTGTGGCACACGATTGGGAGAGTAGCCAGCGCTACGAGTGGCGATGTTTTTACACAACGCACGAGGTACAGTGTCCATTTGAGGCCGAGTAGACCTAGGGGAGGCCCAGGACCAGTTCAAATAATTGTCACTTGCGTTGGTGGCCGTGAGCGGGAAGGGCGCCAAGATAGCGAGATGTTAACTACCTCGCCTGGTATACAGGAGGCCGTGGGTTCGATCCCGACCCTGACCACTGCTGTATATTTGGAGTTTAAATGTCTCTCTGTCTGATCATCACGGTGGCTGAGATGTTAACTACCTCGCCTGGTATACAGGAGGCCGTGGGTTCGATCCTGACCTTGACCACTGCTGTATATTTGGAGTTTAAATGTCTCTGTTTCATCATCACGGTGGCTATGAGATGTTAACTACCTCGCCTGGTATACAGGAGGCCGTGGGTTCGATCCCGATCCTGACAACTGCTGTATATTGGGAGTTTAAATGTCTGTCTCATCATCACGGTGACTATGAGATGTTAACTACCTCGCCTGGTGTACAGGAGGCCGTGGGTTCGATCCCGACCCTGACAACTGCTGTATATTGGGAGTTTAAATGTCTCTGTCTCATCATCACGGTGGCTGAGATGTTAACTACCTCGCCTGGTGTACAAGCGACACCCGCCGTTTATTCGGAGTTTGCGTGTTCTCCCCGTGGTCGCGTGGATTATTCTCCGGGTGCTCGGGTTTTTAGAATCGCCGTGCGTTTAGAGTATTTGGCTGCTACAAAGTTCCACGTAAGCTATCACGGCTTCGTTGAGCTATCATTTGTGATAGCCAGGTCGCTTCTGAAAAAAAAATTAGCTACGCAGCTCACCTTACCTGGCAAAATAAAAAAATGATTCATAGAATCGAAGTTGAGTCGCTCCCCGGTTCGTAGCGCAGCAGCGCGCTAACCGCTACTGCCTCGTGGTTCTTCTTAACACGGGGGTGCATGCAACCCCCTGGGGGGTACGGCATGCCCTTTCTGGGAGTCATAGATCCCTTTTCTGGGGGTGTGCGAGACGTGGCCAGATTTGTTTTCGAAGGTAAATCATGGAGAGGCAAATAAAGCGCGGGGCGCGTCAAGTAACGACCGACTCCGTTTCATCAAACCCCTGCCGTTTATGAACATTGAATGTTTTTCTTAACGATTCGGAACGAGACGGGCGGCAAGGCCCGCGTCAAAAAAATAGTTTAAGAGCCAGGGCCGCTGCACCAACCCGCTGCCCACACGACGCTCGCGGTCACGGCAGCACCCTCAGCGGGGGCGTCCGCTCTCGCGCTAGGCGCTCGCGGGCGGCATCCCAATGCAAACTCCGGCAGGCGCCCGGCCGGCGTCACGTTGCGCACCAGGCGACTGCGTTCACAGCCGTCACGGGAGTCACGGGGGGTGGGAAGAGACTGCATGACACGACACGATCCACCACCACCACCCTCCCCCCAACCACCACGCCACCGCCACCCACGGGTTAATAGCCCACGTGGTTAAGATTTTTACACTCCCGTTCACTTTGGGCTCTCGAGGTTTGCATGAAACGAGTGTCAAAAGTGAGAAAATGCTGAATGCGTTCTTGCCTCTTTCGTATCAACACGCGCGCACGCATCGAGCCAACGCAGTGAACACGCTCGGAGCGTTGATAAACACGAGCGCGGACCCACGGTGGCGAGATGCTCCTGGTACACAGGAAGTCGTGGGTTCAATCGCGACGCCTGCTGTATATTTGTCGTCTCTATAATTATCATCACGGTGGCTAGGAGATGTTAACTGCCTCGCCTAGTATGCAGGAGGTCGTGGGTTCGATCCAGACCTTGACGCCTGCTGTATATTTGTCGTCTCTATAATTATCATCACGGTGGCTAGGAGATGTTAACTGCCTCGCCTGGTATACCGGTTTCAATCCCGACCCCGACACGCCTGTTGATTTGGAGTTTGCGTGTCTCTCTCCTCATGGTTGCGGCGCAGAGGACCTGGGTTCAAGCCCTGGGCCAGGGCTAGGAGATGTTAACTACTTCGCCTAGTATGCAGGTCGTGGGTTCGATCCAGACCTTGACGCCTGCTGCTGTATATTTGGAGTTTAAATGTCTGTCTCATCATCATGGTGGCTATGAGATGTTAACTACCTCGCCTGGTGTACAGGAGGCCGTGGGTTCGATCCTGACCTTGACCACTGCTGTGTATTTGGAGTTTGCGCGTTCTCCCTGGTTTTCCCTCCACATTTGCCAAAAAGGCCTTTCGAGCATTCGGCCGAAATAAACTTGCACGTGATCAGCCACTTTGTTGAGCGATCGTTTGTGGCCAGGTCGCTTCTGAAAACGAGCTAAATACATCAGTTGACCTTACCTGGTAAAAAAAATAATTATAGTTTAGTAAAAATACCGCGGGTTTAACGACTCGTAGAATGCTACACGCGGTCTGCTTTCCCCGTAAGGACTTGAGAAATCGCGTCGACACAAGTTGAAAAATGGTGGGCCACCTCCGATTAGCGCGGTTGGCCACGTACGGTGCGAAAGACGTTCGAACGTGCAGTACGTACAAGCAAACGCGCCGTTTGTCTCTGGTCGCGATGAGATTTCGGGGGTTTTAAACGTTGGTATTTTCACAATTATTTGTTCGTTTGGTTCACGACCGTTTTCAATAAAAAACCAAAATGTTTCTCAAGATTCTCGCGTTATCCACCGACAATGCCTTCATATATAAGAGGACCGTGGAGCCCGGACAATAGTTCACACGTACACAGGCATGCCTGTCAGACAACACACCTGTGATACGCGGGACACGCATACGGCCTTGCGCTACGAGAACGGCGCGAACAACACGTGTCCCTGCTTCACAGCGGACGTTAAACGGTCGCTCCACAAACTCAACACCGCACCGTCGGCTAACGCTACCCATAGACTCAACACCGCAACCCCCGATTGGCACGCCCGGCTACGTACGGTGCGAAATAAGTTCAACGTACTTGCATGCGTACATTCGCCAAGGGTAAGGGCCATCGTGTGCCGGCGCCAGCGTCCACAACTTGCCAAATTCTAAAATTACACCGCAGGCGAATCCATTGCGATTACAAAGCAGCAGCAGCAGCCATCGCCCCCTACTGGCAGATTGATGCATCGGCCGATCATCTCGGTAAATCAAACCACGGCACCTCAAGTCTGTCCCGTGACCTGCCAACAGCGAGCCATCGACACTTCACGTGTCCTCAAAGTGCACCTAGCCTGGCACAAGAGCCACATTGACGTCACGGCCACTTGGTGGCGAACGGCGGTCGTTGATGGGTGGGTGCCTTTGTCTGAACACATTCCACTATTTTACACAACCGTTCACCAACACATCATTCACAAAGACTGCGGAGTGCAAAACAAATACAATAACAATAACACTGCCGGCATATATTTTAGTTTATTTAAAAAAAAAATTCCCTCTCACAATTTTATTTACCAAATCACAACGTCGCCGCATCCACGCAAACTGTTAAACCAGCCCGTGCCGAGTTCGCGAGGCCCCGTCTGCATCGACGATGGAAATGTCGAAATATTGGTCACGCCGAAGTTGGTTTGATGCCCCAACAGCGTGGCCAATACGAACTCCCAAGATTATCCCCCGACTTCAGAAATTCCAGGAGCAAAGTCTTCACAAAGACTCTTGATCTAAAAACCTGTCCTCTCAAAAAGCTGAGTCTCTCAAGACACCGACTCCGAAGCCGGGTCTCAACTCAAGACACTGATCTCATGCCTCCTAAGTAAACCTCAAGTAACTGGATATTGAAACCCAGTCTCGAGACGCTGGTTCCTGAAACACAATATCGAACCCACCGGTTCATAAAACCCAGTCTCTCTCAAGACAACGATCTTGACAAACAAGTTCCAAGACAAAGTTGCTCGGACCTGGTCTCTCTCTCAAAATAAACATATACAGTAACAACAAAACCTGGATCAGAGTCTTTTGAGACGAAACCAATCCTAAAAAAAAAAAAGAACGCATCTGAAATTCCCCCTCCCCGTGACCAGCCCAGTCTGCTCCCCCCCTCCCCCCCCCCGCTCACCCCCCTACCTTCACCCCTCGCTCATCTCCACGTCCTGCACTTTCTCCGTACTCCCATTCTGCTTCTTCTCCGTTTCCGTGGCAGCCTCCCCGTTCCTGGCGCTGCCATCTCCCTCTTTCCGCGTCCCCGCGTCTACCCCGGCGTCTTTCTCCGCGTCCCCCTCCTCCTCCTTCGCCTCTCCCCCCTCCTTCTTGGCGTCCACCCCCTCCTCCTTCTTGGCGTCCACTCCCTCCTCCTCCTCCTCCTCCGCGTCCACCCCCTCCTCCGCGTCCACCCCGCCTCCGTTCCCACTCTCCGCGGGGGCCGCCGTATCCATGTCGTCTTGGGTGCTGGCGGCGGCCGCGGGGGTGGCGGCGCTAGCGGCGGCAGCCGCTGAACGGGCGGACGGACACGACAGCGAGCGTGCACGTTAAGAGACGCGGAGGCGGCGGCGGCGCAGAGGACCTGGGTTCGAGCCCTGGGCCAGGGCTAGGAGATGTTAACTACTTCGCCTAGTGTGCAGGAGGTCGTGGGTTCGATCCAGACCCTGACGCCTGCTGTGTTATTTGGAGGTTGCGCGTTCTCCCCGGTTTTCCCGCCACATTTATAAACATGCGTTTAAAAGTATTTGGCTGCTTTGAAAGTTCACATGACGATAAGCTACTTTGTTGAGCGATCATTTGTGGCCAGGTCGCGTCTGAAAAAGAGCTATATAGATAGCTCAGTGGGACTTACCTGGTAAAATAAATAGTTTAAATAAGTTGACTCTAAATCTTTAACTCAGCAGATTCATAATGGCCGTGTTAAAAACACTGAGCCAGCAACACTAAAAAATCCTGGGTTCAAGGCCTGGGTGTCTAAATCTGTATCCAAGTGGGTTAACAATGGCTGTGTCAGAGATACTGAGATTCCAGATTTGAATCTGGATGTTGGCCCTCCAGTGCTTAAACCAGTCTGCCGTCTCATCTCAGTCACCCATCCCAAACGAGACGGCACAGAAGAGGCAAGATATTACGAGACAGGACTGATGGAACGTACAAGACTAACAGAACAACACGGCAAGACACACACTATGTGAGAAGGCGCTTAATGATGAGAATGAGATGCCTTGACAGTGAAAATGCGACAGACACAGCAAGTGTTGCGGTACGAAAGAGACAGACAAAACGAACCGGACAGTACAAAGGAGACACACGGAGGGGGGAGGGGACAAGACAGACAGAACACAAGTGCAGAATAAAACTTAAGACATTCTGGGCAAAAATAGACGTGGCAAGAAAGACAGAACGAGACAGTATAGAACAAGCCAGGCAGAACCAAAAATAAGGGGACATTCTCAAATCCAACGGAGGCAGCTCATTGAATGACAGAAGGGGAGTGAATGTTTACGAGGCTATTTGCGTGTGTGCGTGCGTGCATACATGTGCGCACGTGTGTGCACGTTTGTGGGTGTACGTGTGTGTGGGCGTACGTGTGTGGGCGTACGTGTGTGGGGGCACGTGTGTGTGCACGTGTGTGTGTGTGCACGTGTTTGTGGGCGTACGTGTGTGTGTGCACGTGTGTGTATGCAAGTGTGTGTGTGTGTGCACGTGTGTGTGGGCGCACGTGTGTGTGGGCACGTGTGTGTGTGTGCACGTGTGTGTGCACGTGTGTGTGTGCACGTGTGTGTGTGCACGTGTGTGTGCACGTGTGTGTGTGCGCACGTGTGTGTGCACGTGTGTGTGTGCGCACGTGTGTGTGGGCGCACGTGTGTGTGTGTGCACGTGTGTGTGGGGACACGTGTGTGTGTGCACGTGTGTGTGTGCACGTGTGTGTGGGGACACGTGTGTGTGTGCACGTGTGTGTGTGCACGTGTGTGTGGGGACACGTGTGTGTGTGCACGTGTGTGTGTGCACGTGTGTGTGTGCACGTGTGTGTGTGTGCATGTGTGTGTGTGCACGTGTGTGCAGGCGCACGTGTGTGTGTGTGTGCACGTGTGTGTGGGCGCACGTGTGTGGGATAGGGGCAGCACCTGTTGGTTTCTCCTGGCCTGGAATGTGTCCGGCTTGCAGGAGGCTCTTCAGCCTCGTCACCTCCTCGAGAGACGACGCGTTTATTATCGCAGTCTAAGAAGAGACACGCGCGCACGATGACACACACACACACACACGCGCGCGCTCGATATCTGCCAACGTTCCAGTCACTCTCAATACGTGGGTAACCGTGAAGAGGGCCGTCAACATCAGGTTCGAGGTTCGGGCCTCGATCCACACACGGCCGTCCTGGCGAGTACTGCACGTGCAGTAACCGTACAAAAAAATTATACTCCTACGCACCATCTGCGTCCAACGCTGGAAGTTTAAAAGATCCCGTGAGCTTAGCTAAGAAAAAAAATGGGTAGGCCCATCGTGTGCCGGCGTCACGGTCCCACGTTTCGCTACCGTGTCCGTACGTACAACGTCTTTGGCACCCACCATACGCAGTCAACCGTGCTACACCGCAATTTGCTCAATCGCAACACACGGCGATCGTGAGTAATCAAGCCCCCCCCCCCCATCCCGTCCCCCGTGTCCCCGGCTGCTGTGACAAAATTGGCACGATCCCTCCTGGGAAAGGATCTGAAAGAGTCGGCGAAGGCTTCCATGGGTCAACACGTGTAGCAATAATAGCAAAACTACAGCAGCTCCTTGTAATCTGGCGTAGGATGTAAGTGCCGTGTTTGGTGACACGAGGCCACCGGGTGGTGTGTGTCGCCAAGGAGCATAAACCGTGGCGGTGTGGCAGTGTAGCGGCGGTGTGGTGGTAGTGTGGCGTGGTGGCATGGTAGTGTGGTGACGGTGTGGTGGTGGTGGCGTGGTGGCATGGTAGTGTGGCGGGGTGGTAGCGTGGTGGTATAGCGTTGTGGTGGCATGGCGGCTGTGGCAGTGTGGTAGTGTGGTGGTGTGGCGTGCAGTGTGGTGGCGGTGTGGCAGTGTGGTGGTGGGGTAGTGTGGTGGTGGTGTGGCGTGCAGTGTGGTGTGGTGGCAGTGTGGTGTGGTGGCAGTGTGGTGGTGGTGTGGTGGCATGGCGGCGTGGCAGTGTGGTGGTGTGGCAGTGACGAAGTGTGGCCATGTGGATGTGTGGCAGTAAGGCGGTGTAGTTGTGGTGTGGTGGTGCAACAGGGTGGCAGTGTGGTGGTGTGGCTTAGCGGCGGTCGTGTGGCTGTGGTATGGTTGCACGACAGGGTGTCGGTGCGGTAGTTTGTGCCGGTGATCCAGCACTGCAGGGGCGAGGGTAGGTGGACCACACAACTTTGTGAACACTCCCAAAACCACCGGGACTGCGCGGTGCCCGGGAGGTGGCAGGACAGCAAGCGCGCGTGTGAACACGCATGTGCGTGTGAACACGCATGTGCGTGTGAACACGCATGTGCGTGCGAACACGCATGTGCGTGCGAACACGCATGTGCGGGACCGCCGAATGTTATCCTTCTCATTTTTCACGGTGGGTTGTCTCCGGATACTCTGGTCATCAGCGGCGCGAAGCGCGACTCCACCGCTGACAACTTGCCAAAAACATTCCCAGCGCGGGACCCTCCCGCACTTGGCGACCCTTGCCTGGACAAGCGAGAGACGTCACAACAACTGCACAACACGGCCGCCCACCTTGATCGCCTCAATCTCGGCCGGCGTGGGTCCCGCCTTCTTCTTTTCAATCACCAACCCGGCACCCGGAGTGAAGCTGTGCGGGGGGGGGAGACACAAGGGGGAGACACGAGGGGGAGACACGAGGGGGAGACACGAGGGGGAGACACGAGGGGGAGACACGAGGGGGAGACACGAGGGGGAGACACGAGGGGACATGAGGGGAGACACATTGACACACGGGGAGACATGTGGACACACGGGGAGACATGGAGAGATATGGGGAGACACGGGGACACACCGGAAAACATGGTAGGACACGGGGACACAGAGAGATGTGTGGACACATTTTGGAGATGTGTAGACACACGGGGAGACACGTAGCCAAACGCGGAGACAGGGAGAGAAATGGGGAGACACACATGGACACATGGGCATAGAGACAAAGGGAGGCACAGGGACACACAAAGACACACACACAGACATTCAAGGGAGCATGGAGAGGCATGCGCACGTACAACAACAAAAAACGAATTAGTCAACACTTTAGTGTCAGCAGCTTTCCAGCCCGAGGCAATAACCATGTGTAGCATCTGTTCATAGAAGTTTAATATCCGAGCGAAACTTTATTATTAAAATCCGCTGTGGTTAATTTGTGCTTCAGAAAGGGTGGGTGGGGGGTTCCCAGCTTTGTAACATGTGACAACTTTTTCAGGACCAGTCTCAAGACGAAGCCAACACTGCAACTGTCCTCGTAAATGTTTTAACGACGCCAAATTCATAAGCCTCGTCCCTTGGAGCCCAGCCTTTAGCCTATGATACTGAGCTCCGGGTCTCATGCAATCAATTTTCTATCAAGAATCCGATCCTGAACCCCTGGTCGTATGCAATAAATTCTGACTCAAAACTCGGGATTCTCAAACCCGATCTCCTTGAATCAAATATCAATTGAGAATCCGATCATTAAACTGGGTTTCAAGACATTGATCCTGACACCCCGTTTTCTGAAGCTACATTTCAAGACATCGATCCTCAAAGCTGGCCTTCTGGAGCCGAGAGACTTAATCGAGACTCTGATCCTGAAAACCAGGTCTTCTGGAGCCACGTCTCCAAGAACACTGATCTTGAAAAAGCAGACAAAGTTTTAAGGCGCAAGCAAGCCCAACCGTCACGGAGCGGACGTACGAAATCACATTCACCGCAACGTGATGCAGTATCGTGCCAAACCTTGGTGGCTAAATAAAGTTTCGCTTCCGCATCGCACTGTGGTATTGTGTAGTGTCTGTTTTTATGTTTAATGTCCGATCGTGGCGGGCTGTGGCAAGGCGCGGAAGGGCAAGCGAAACTAAACCAGAAAACTTAAAAAAAGTGAACACACGCAAGCCCAATTTACAATTCTCCCCAGCCGCTCTGTGCCTCTCTGATCATTTTATCTGACGATTCGACGGCCAACCGGATTGCTTCGAAATGACGTCGCACCCCCTTGTTTGGATCAATCGAGCGCAACCGTGAGGCCGCCCGCTCCTGCGTGCTCGGTAACGAGAGGTTCCGCCGCGTGCCAAACGTCCGACGTAGATTCGTAGGTCGAGATCGGAGAATTCGGCCTCGTTCATGCGCAACTGACTCGCGCCTGCAACCGACTGCAGGAGCTTAAGCGGCGGTGATTTCGGTGGCTCCGTCAAAGCCCATCTCTGTGTGTCATCTATCACTTGTGTTCCACTTTGCCCCTCCTCTCACCAGCCACAGCCCAACCACGGCCATCGCAAGCTTCCCATTACCAGCGCCACCTTTCCCAAAAACAACTTGAACTTTTGATGGATTTTGCGTCAATCACGTTCCGGTCGTGCTGCTGTTGTGGGGCCAAAAATTGTCACGACGCAGAGGTAATTTCTGCGCGGAACCCTCGCAGGAGAATCGGAGCCGCCACCGTGCGTCAGGGGAGCTTTCGTAGACGATGACGTCGCAGAACTGCTACCGAGAGCCCTTCAGCTCCGTCTCTCCGATCCACACTGGGCGCCCGTTACCGTCTCTGATGCCCCGCTACGCAAGAATCGAAACCCCGGTTTTTAGTCGGACTTTGCCGAAACCCGGCTCGTCGCGTCTGACACGGCCGTCAGCCGCGTCAAGAGGACACCGGGCAACCTCCGACAAACGATCCGCGGCACGGTGGACAAAAGGTGGCACGGATTTTGGGGGGCGGCCTGACGATGGTCGACAGTCAATGCATCTTACGTCTTTGCCGTGTTCACTCCTTCCTTAGTGGAGAGAAGAACGGATTTCTTTCCCTTAAACAACCTCTCAGCCTCCTGTCTCTCCTGTGGCTCAGGGCCACAGCGCACACAACACACGCGCACGCACATGAACACAAACGCGCATGAAAAAACACACACACACACACACACGTGCACCATCACAGTCGTTTCAAAGTCGAGTGGTTTCCTGCTCGAATCGAGCAAAACACGGAGCTCTCATCGCCCATTAAAAACAGGAACAAGAACAATCGCGCGTGCGCGCACGGATTCTGTAAACGCTTTCGCAACGAGCGTTTGGTTTGTCACCAGAAACATGTGATCAACGTGGGATACGATACATTTTAAGCTGCACGAAACATCATTTTTACGTGACAGCGCAACCATATCGTTGAGCGTAATCTGGTCATCATCTTGACCGGCCACATATACAAATAAATATTCTGATCCCGATTCCTTCTTGGCGCTGGTCGCGATCGGCAAAGTTTTGGGCAACCATTTTTCCCCAGTTGCCTCTTAGAGGCAACTTTCACGTTCAAGTTTAATTCGTATCGTATCTTCACGAGCGTTACCACATTCATCTTCTTTGGTTCTTTCGGTAAAGTCACGTAGAATGAGAATAAAATAATAAATTGATAAAATAAAATAACACAATAATATTATTTTATTTTTATCAATTTATTATTTTATTCTCATTCTACGTGACTTTACCGAAAGAACCAAAGAAGATGAATCATTGCAGTCACGAAAGCTTTAAATCGAAAGTTACCACATTCCATCGTTTTCTTCACCTTTTTAAAATTGCTTTAAACGTTTAGCTAAGTTTGATGTGTTTTTAGTGTTTTTACCATTTGATGTTGTTTTTGCTGCTTTTATGATTTTATGTCAAGTGTCTTTCGAGTATTCAGAAAAGCGCTCACAAATAAAATGTATTATTATTATTCTCTGCACCGTCTCGTACGTGTCGTCTGTCTTGATTGTACCGTCCCGTTTCATTCTGAACCTCGTCTCGTCTTGCGTGTCCGTCGCGACTGCATTAATCATAATCGCGTCAACTTGATGTGCCGTCAACGCGCAGTGTCCGCTCGCTCTCCGACAGAGAGAGAGGACGACTCAAGGAGGCATGAGGGTTGACCACAGTGGAGCGGGAAGGGCAGCAGCAGCAGCAGTAGCCACAGCAGCCAGTAGTGAGTCGGTGCCACCCAAGCTCTGCGGCCCTCTATATATTAAGACGTTATCGGCCAATTAGTGAACGTTTACATTGTCGCTCACATTTGTATTGTCGTTCCGAGTCGATGCTTTTAACAGCATTGTCACCTGTGTCTGTACAGACACAGGTGACAATGCATCATCCATCCTGTCTGGATCGCAACGTCCTATTGTCTCGCGTGTGCCGTCGTATTTATTCCGTTTCATACGCTCCACGAATCTAAAATGCGACACGGGGCATGTCATCCTCGTCATCAACATAATCTTCATCAGCCATGATCAATCCACTGCTGGACGGAAGGCCTCCCCCCCCCCCGCCGGGCCCAACGCAATCTTTCGCGGCCCTGTGACGGCAACAATCCACCCTATCACCTTGCGGGCGACTAAGCAAAGGCGAGACGCAGGCAACGGCAGAGGCTGGCGGCGGCGGCGATGGCAACGTGGGACCGCTCCGACTCACCTTGAGTTTCACCTTCTGGAAGTCGAGGACCCTGATCTGCGGGAGTTTGTAGACGGCATAGAGGCGGTAGTTTTTCTTGGTCGTCACGGGATTCCTGAGCAGACTGAATGAACAAAGCCAACGTGACTCCCGCACGCACGCACGCGGGCTTACAATGGCACTGCACGGCGTGTGTACGCGCGTGGGTTGAAGCTTCTTTCGCACCGCACACAGCCCACCGTGCCAATCGCAGGTGCACGTTTACGCGTCGCATCTACAATCGGCCACGTCTCGCGACGCCGTCTGACAGCACGTGGGGCACCCTGGGTAAAGGCGGCACACCAGTTTTATTTTAACTTTGCTAGAACTACGGCTGCCTGTGGCCGCCTTATTCTAGCTGCCGCGGAGGGCTTCTCGGCACTTTGCGCCTCGCTCGTCGCCCCCACCGATGCCCTCTTCTGTATGCCGACAAAATACTTTTTTTGGGGGGGGGGGGGGGGGGAGGGGAGTGAGATTATTTTGGGTGGGGGGGTCAACAACTGTTGCAAACCTGTTGGGTCAGGTTTTTACCCACCTCATCTTGTGGGGGGTCCACTTTCTATAACTTACTGTTCGATTCAGGCCTTCTGAAAGGCTCTTATCGTTCAGTTGACGGACAAACGGACCGCCGGGCTTTTATAATGGAAATGCTCAATAAATGCAAAAATTGCGCATTTCAGGATAATTCATAAAACAACCATTGACAAAACAATATTAGATTGATCATACTGGTTCAGAAGGCTCTCGTAATTTAGTTGACGGACAAGTCGAAACGCCGGGCTTTTGACAATAGATACAAAGAGGCAGTCGGTCATAGGCCGAGGGAAAGAGGAAGATACTGAGCCTGGACTTTAAAAAGGCAGAATCTTTATTTAGGCTGGAGGAATCCAATGAGCGACGAAGCTCTTTTCCACAGATGTCCAGTAGGGGCAGGTCAGCAAGTTACCATAAACAAACGATATAAGAGCAGGAGAAAGAAAAGGGAAACCAGTCACCAAAAATAAAATAATATTAATTCAAGCACAGAAGTACAAATTGAACAGGTACAAAAATAATGCTGACGATTTGTCAACATCAAATGCAAGCTTGGGGACAGGGTAAAACAACGACGACTTGAATAGGCAGGGGAGTTTGGCAGCACGGATGGCGGGGGAGGGTCGAAGGCTCGCAGCTAACACGAGGCCACGGAGCAGAGCACGCACCTGAGGAAGCGTAACGACTTGAGGGAGGACAGGGGGTCCAGTTCCGTCTGAAAAGATTCGAGAGGAAAAATTATGACATTATTAACTTGTAGTTCCTCCACCCCCCCCCCCACCCTGTACATTAAAGGAAACGTTAAGGGATGTTCGTCTTAAAATCCTAAAGAAACAGTTTCTCCCAGAGGAACACAGAAGATTATAGAGACGGAAGACACCACCAGCCACTCAGAATCATCAGAATAATCTTCCAGAATGCATCTCTCCACGTCATAAGCGAGCACGTCCATGCTCATATTCCGGAAGACGGCTTTACATCGCAATACGGGATTTTCCAGGAGACACGGTTTAACTTGGCTATTCCCAATAATCTTCGAGAAGACATCTTTCCCCATTTTCAGGTACCATGTTCATCATCATCTTTTGGAAGACAGCTCTACTTGGTTCTGCATTTACACCATTTTCTCAGTTGTTCACTCGATATTTCACGAATCTCTATTTTACACCCGTGTTTCCCGCCTTGCCGAGACATCGTACAATTTGAAGAATCCTACGTATTATGTTAGTTTAATGACACCAACATTTGGTGCGCCTCTTATTTGTCGGAACATCTTACAATCTGGAGGATACGGCAAGAGGTAAAAAGGTACTCTCATTTAAAACGGAGTTCCACGCGAAGTCTCGGGAGTTGGGTCGCCACTAAGGCTGAAGTCATGGCCGGGAATCAATCTCCGGTTGCATCAACAAGACTGCAGCGTGCCAACCACTGTGTAACCTCACCGACCCCCGCGGTGAAAGTATGTCGAGCAACTCCCACAATTATCACTCCGTGGTGGGAGGCCTCGGGTGAAGGGTTGGGGTCAGGGGTTGGGGTAAAAACCGACATGGATAGCGTGGGTTTAATGGATGGCATCTCACCAGCTCCTGTAGGTTGTTGTTTGTAAGGATGAGCTCGTTGAGGCTTGGCAGACTTTGATCCAGGCTCTCAGAAAAACGGCTACACGTGCAGACAGAGAAGAAACAGACCAACACACGGGGGAAAAAAACAGATTCACCATTAAGCCCTATAAAACTGTTAAGGCAAGTGCTATTGCCATGCAGCTACAATAACAACAATCAGGAATTTCAGAAAGCGTAATTGAATCAAACAACAACGCTGCACAATCGGAAAACATGGAGGTGCAGGTATATTTAGATGTTTTAAAGCCAATTAATGAGTGTTCATACATGTGCGAGGAATCCGGAACACCAGGGGAAAACCCCACACATGTGAGGATCAATACTCTTATCTCACACAAACGGAACAGACGGAGAATAATAATCCACACTCTGCTGTACCGCCATCTCTTGGCGAGCCAGGGCGTTTCACCTCGACACCCACGGGAAGGGAAGTTTCTCAATATTTCTGTGACCCACCAACCATCATCCCGTCATTGCTGGATTTACAGGTACGCATCGTGGTGACGTAGTCAGCACCACGCGCAGCCTTCCCTGTTTCCCCGAGTGCTGATACTGCATGCATCTGGTACTTGTTTGAGAATGATTCGGTTTCGGGAAGGCCCAGGAAATAATTGTCTACGCGCCACTTGCCACTGACGTTGGTCATGGCATGGAATCAAACGTCTTTATTTTCATATCAGAATGCGTGTATATCTAAGAATCTGTGCGCGCGTAGTTAGTTGTAGTTGTGTGTATCTGTGTGTGTGTGTATGTATCTGTGTGTGTGTATTTATCGTGGTTTAACTCGTGGTTTCGTGGCACAAACGTCGTGGTGACGTCACCGCCACTTAGCGGCGAATGGCGGTTGTTGTTGTGTATTTATCTGTATGTGTGTGTATATTTATCTGTATCTGTGTGTGTATTTATCTGTATCTGTGTGTGTGTACTTATCTGTATCTCTGTGTGTGTATTTATCTGTATCTCTGTGTGTGTATTTATCTGTATCTCTGTGTGTGTATTTATCTGTAGCTGTGTATTTATCTGCAGCTGTGTGTATTTATCTGTAGCTGTGTGTGTATTTATCTGTATCTCTGTGTGTGTGTATTTATCTGTAGCTGTGTATTTATCTGCAGCTGTGTGTATTTATCTGTAGCTGTGTGTGTATGTATCTGTGTGTGTATTTATCTGTATCTGTGTGTGTGTATTTATCTGTAGCGGTGTGTATCTGTGTGTGTATTTATCTGTAGCGGTGTGTATCTGTGTGTGTATTTATCTGCAGCGGTGTGTATCTGTGTGTATTTATCTATAGCTGTGTGTATCTGTGTGTATATTTATCTGTAGCGGTGTGTGTCAGTGTAAGTGTGTTTATTTATCCATAGTGGTGTGTATCTGTGTGTATTTATCTGTAGCGGTGTGTATCTGTGTGTGTATTTATCTGTAGCAGTGTGTATTTATCTGTAGCAGTGTGCGTATTTATCTATAGCTGTGTGTATTTGTGTGTATTTATCTGTAGCTGTGTGTATGTGTGTGTGTATTTATCTGTAGCTGTGTGTATGTGTGTGTGTATTTATCTGTAGCTGTGTGTATCTGTGTGTGTATTTATCTGTAGCTGTGTGTATCTGTGTGTGTATTAATCTGTAGCTGTGTGTATCAGTGTAAGTGTGTGGGTCCCTACCACACACGGTTGTTGTTAATTATAAGTGACTTGAGCCTCCTGAGCAGAGGGAATCCGTCGATCTTGCGGATCTCATTGTCTGAGAGGTCGATGGTGTCGAACTGATCCAGAGTCGCTCCAAGGTTCTCAATCACCGGGATCTTATAGCCTAGGGGGTCGAGGGTGAGCACCTTCAGCATCAATAGTTTCAGAACCCTCCTCAACACAACACCACCACCACCGTCATCACTGCAATAATCATTAGGCATCATTGCTATCAACAGAGTTACCGAATTCACTTTGATCACCCTACTCACCACAACCACTTTCATCACCATCATAATTACATTCATCAGCATCACAATCACCACAATCCTCACGACCAACTTTTCACTATTACCGCCATCAGTACTGTATAAAAAAGCACCTTAAAAATAACCGCCTACGTAAATAACATGGTGTTATTTTTACCGCCAACACAACCAATGTCACACCACGTTAACGTCGCCACTACCATCTCATTATTACCGGCATTGCCTCAACTTAATCACTCCCCTTTTTTCAGTAACGCCAAATTGCGGCCAAACTACACACCTGGGGCCAACGTGACCGTGCCACACTGTGGATGCGGCAAGCGACATTGTGGGACACTGCCTACGAGTGCCCCCCCCCCCTCCCCCCCGACTGGACACAAGACGGTGGTATTTGGCCTACTCTTCCACGCTGGTCAAGTCTTGGAAGCGGCGGCTTCCGTATTGCGAGTCCAGTGATCCAAGCAATATTGCCATGGCAGCATGCCATAACCATCGCATCAAGACCATAATCGTCAACACCACTTTTATTATAACAATAAAAGACAAAGATCCCCCACCACATGGCCTTAACAGACTGTTGGGGCAAGTGCTGTTAGTGAGCAGCACCCTATGAAGACCGGCACGGCACACGAGTGAGTGGCCAGCACCACGCCCGGCCGCCTTTGTCTCCGCAGTGGCGATGTATACACACCGCACCAGGTACTCATTTGAGGCCGAGTCGACCTAAAGGAGGCCCAGGACCGGTTCAGATAATGGTCACTGGTGTTGGCCGTGAGCGGGAATCGAACTTGGGTGGCCAGGTTCGTAGCGCAGCGCGCTAACCGCTACACCACCGCTCCCACATAACAATAACCCACTATCGCACCAGCACTTTCATCTTCAGCACGCATATCAACACCACAAACACCCCCATCAACAAGCAAATCACCACCACCGCCATCAGCATCGCCAAGAGCAAGGGTCGACTCCTCCTCACACGGCCGTATCAACAGGGCCATAATAATTCAAACATAATATAAGAATTGGGTTTTGACCTTTCTGGAAATAAAAAACAGGTGTTAAGATATTCAAACACGGAATAGAAACCTTTAGCAAGGAATCATGTCTGCATTAAGCAGAGACAGCATTACTCTTTGGTTATTTCGGTAACGTCACGTAGGCATAAAATAAAATATATACCTACGTGACTTTACCGATTCCTGCAGTCACGAAACCTTCAAATCAAGATAGAGGCAGCCTTATTAGGGCCTAGTCTCACCAGTGTCAGACCAGAGAACGCCAAAAGGCGAACATGACCAAAATAACGTAGCCTGCCTTTAGCACTATAACAATTGGCAAATAAAGTGTTCCAATGAAGCCAACATGAGTGACGTCAATACACATGCAATAACTCGTACATATGTGGTTTAGAAGTGGTGCAGGGATTTTCGCACTGCGTTATCATTTTATATTTTAACAGGTAAGGCCCCACTGAGCTATATAGCGCTTTTTATTTTTTTAAGAGCGACCCGGCCATAAATGTAGCTCAACTAAGTAGCTTATCATCATGTGGATATGTTTAGAATCCAAATACTCTAAACGCGTGTTAATTCTAAATGTGGACGGGAGGATCCGGAGAAACATCCACGCGACGGGATCGAACCCACGGCCTCCTGTATACCAGGCGAGGTAGTTAACATCTCCTAGCCACCGTGATGACGATGAGAGAGACACGCAAACTCCAAATATACAGGCTTCGTCAGGGTTGGGATCGAACCCACGACCTCCTGTACACCAGGCGAGAGAGTTAACATCTCCTAGCCACCGTGATGATGACGAGGAGACACGCAAACTCCAATTATACAGCAGCAGGCGTCAGGGTTGGGATCGAACCCACGGCCTCCTGTATACTAGGCGAGAGAGTTAACATCTCCTAGCCACCGTGATGATGACGATGAGAGAGACACGCAAACTCCAAATATACAGCAGGCCATCACAGGGTTGGGATCGAACCCACGGCCTCCTGTATACCAGGCGAGGTAGTTAACATCTCCTAGCCACCGTGATGATGACGATGAGAGAGACACGCAAACTCCAAATATACAGCTGGCCATCATCAGGGTTGGGATCTAATCCAGGGCCCTGCTGCGTACCAGGCGAAGTAGTTAACGTCTCCTAGCCACCGTGGCGCTCTGGCCTACCCCGTTTGAAACTCGCTCACGGCTCAACATCAGTGGCCATCAATGAACTCGGGCAAGTTCGATTCCCGGATACGGCTAACATCGGTGGCGAGAGATATCCCATAAAGAGGAGTCCTGGGCGCCGCCTCCACCAAACCGTAGCGACCAGCGCGGTGAAGTATGTTAACCCCACCACCCCCACCATCACCACGATCGATACGGCGTGGGGGAGACGGGGTCGGCTTTTTATCCAGCAGTGTATTAACACCATCATAGCCGTTTACGATTGCCGAACGAAACTCCACGTGGCTGAGATAGCGTGAACGCACGGCTATTCTCAAGTCATTGCAAGCGGCCACTTTAAACAAAATGCCCGAAACAATCGCACGCTTTAAAAAAACAGCAACACATCATTCACAACGTTATTCTATCGAAAAACATTTCAAAGCCGCACTTTCTTTTACAAGTTAAAAATAAAACTAAAAATGTTTTTAAAAACTCCGTCTGAGGAAAACCGCGGGCCCTGGCGTTCGCGAGAAGCCTGCCGTCGCCTAGCCGCTCCCGCCGTCACCTCTGAGGTCCAATTCCCGGTCGCGCACGGGGTTCGTGAACTGGGCCGCCTGCTCGATCAGCTCCGCCGTCAGCTTCACCATCGCGAGGCCGTTTATTTTACAGCGACCCTGAACGCCTCCACGAATCGGGGGATTTCGTTTCGGGAAAAGTTGCCCACCCCGTGCGAGGCGCCCGCAATTCAATTGCGCGCAGCGTTTTTTGCCAAATCTCGCGAGACTCTCGTCAGATCTTCCGGTCGTTTTTTAAAAAAATTTGTACCGGAAGACTGCGCTTCCTCGTCTTCCGGAAGAAGAGGAAGTCATCTTCCAGTAGATAAGGAAGACGTGATTGGGAGACGTCTTCCAGAAGAACGGAAGACGTGTTTCGAACTTCTGGAAGACGTCTTATAAGGGAACCGATTTTTCTACGGGAACCGATTCCCTATCTCTAAACATTGCCCCATAGACTTTCTACGGGAACCGATTCCCTATCTCTTAACATTGCCCCATAGACTTTCTACGGGAACCGATTCCCTATCTCTTAACATTGCCCCATAGACTTCCTATGGGATACCGATTCCCTATCTCTTAACATTGCCCCATAGACTTTCTATGGGAACCGGTTCCCTATCTCTTAACATTGCCCCATAGACTTTCTATGGGAACCGATTCCCTATCTCTTAACATTGCCCCATAGATTTTCTATGGGAACCGGTTCCCTATCTCTTAACATTGCCCCATAGACTTCCTATGAGAACCGGTTCCCTATCTCTTAACATTGCCCCCCCCCCCCCCAAAACAATATTTCCATTTTGAAAATAAAACATGCTTCAAATCGCTTTAAACTATTGTCATTGTAGCGCGTATTTAATGTGGCGCTGCACTCTGATGTTGTAGGAGAAAACATTTACTAAAAAGTCTATTTAATTAAATAGAACGTGTCGTCTATATTTATTTAAAGTTGCGCATTTTGATGTGACGTCACATTTCTCAAGCCCCTCGCCCCCCCCCCCCCCTCGTCACACATCGTCACAAATGTCTGACCCCCCCTCCCCCCCGTAGGTGCGTGACGTCATTTATGGACGGCCCCGTACGGCGAACCAGTCCCTCCGATTAACCCGCGCACTCTGCCACGGTTGGCGACGTACGGTGCGAAAGACGTTCAACGCACGGCGCGTGCATACAGTCGCCCTCCCACCCCACCCCCCACCACCACGTGTTGTTCGCTCTCGTTCAGTGTCGCCTCAGCGAGCCTCTTTCCACTTCTCTGGAATCCGCAGCGGAACAGAGCGGCGACGTCACAATGGGCTCATTTCTAGATTTGAAGCTTTCGTGACTGCAAAGGATCCATACTCTTTGGTTCTATTCGGTAAAGTCACCACGTAGGTAAAAAAATAAAACAACAAAAATCACGACGTTTCGGCCACAGCACAAGTAGCCTTCTTCAGGTGAAGGAACAGAACAAATACGCTGCGAATCTTAGCAGCGTTCATTGAAGCTCTGTCGTCCCGACAGTTCTGTTCCTTCACCTGAAGAAGGCTACTTGTGTTGTGGCCGAAGCATCGTGATTTTTGTTGTTTTATTTTTTTTACCTACGTGACTTTACCGAATAGAACCAAAGAGAATGGGCTCATTAGCAACCGTCAGACTCTTTGGTTTCACTGGCAAAGAGGCTGTGGGTATTAAAGCCACGCGGGTTGACATTTATTCTTTCTTACACATTTGTCGCCGATTCCCAAATTAAAAAAAGAGAACGCTTCTGGAAATGAAAAAAAACGAATAGCTCAGTGGGCCTTTAGCTAACTAAAACAGCAAGAGTTTAAACTTGATTTGGAGCTTTCGTGACTGCAGGAATTACTCTTTGTTTCTTTCGGTAAAGTCACGTAGGAATAAAAATAAATTAAATCATAGCATACGACGTTTTGATTGCAACACAAGGAATCATCACCCGATGATGATTGCTTGTGTTGCACCTGATGATGATTGCTTGTGTTGCAGTCGAAACGTGATAATTTTATATTTTTATTATTTTATTGTTTTCCTTCTACGTGACTTTACCGAAAGAACCAAGAATATGAATCCCTGCAGTCACGAAAGCTTTAAATCAAAATTTAAACCTAGTAAACTTAGAAATATAATGTAATACAACACAGAGTCGGCCAACACAACAGTCAACACCCCACCTGGTTGATTACGTTCTTCCAAAGATTACTAAATTTGAGAGACAAAACACAGACACGGAGACACAAAGACAAACATACAAGCAGAGAGAGAGACACACAGAGACACAGAGAGAGACACACACATAGACACACAGAGAGAGACAACACAGAGACACACAGAGACACACAACATAGGCACACAGAGAAACAGCGCCTCTGTGTCGAGGCCTTAAATTGAGAGAGAAGGGGGCAGAGAGAGAGGGGTGGGGGTAGAGAAGTTAGCATGTCAATGAGAGATTTGGAGCTTTCGTGACTGCAGGAAATATGAGAGCAACAACACGAGGACAGAGAGAGAGAAAAAACAATCAAGCTTAGTAAAATTTGGAAATGTAATGCAATGCAACACAGAGAGTCGATCAACACACAATTAAGGCATAGCCCGGTTGATTACGTTCTTCCAAAGATTGCTAAATTAGAAGTGTGAAATTTGAGAGAGAGATAAGACACAGACACAGAGACACAAAAACAGACACACAAGCAGAGATAGATAACACAGAGACACAGTGAGAGAGACACACACACATAGGCACACAGAAAAACAACGCCTCTGTGTCGCTATTATTGATGTTTTTTTTATTTCTACGTGACTTTACCGAAATAACCAAAGAGGTCCGGCTCTTTTATACTGGTTCTTGGCTTGCTCCACCCTAGCCACGCCTCCCTTACAGAACTTTCTGGAAGGTGACATCATCCCCCGGTCCCCTCTCCCAGGATCCGTTTCCCAGAGTTTGTCGTTGGCCCCTTTGGGCCATGGTCATTCGCACTGGTGTGATAGCGCTTCCGCCCCCTATTGACGAGAATGGGGAACTACCAGCCAACAGGGAGGTGAGTGCCGATTAACCCCCTACAGGAGTATCAGTTGTGAGTGTGAAGGGACTGGTGGCTACGGGAGGTAATGACAGGGGTATCAGTTGTGAGTGCGAAGGGACTGGTGGCCACGGGAGGTAATGACTGGGGAGTCAGTTGTGAGTGCGAAGGGACTGGTGGCTACGGGAGGTAATGACAGGGGTATCAGTTGTGAGTGCGAAGGGACTGGTGGCTATGGGAGGTAATGACAGGGGAGTCAGTTGTGAGTGCGAAGGGACTGGTGGCCACGGGAGGTAATGACAGGGGAGTCAGCCTGCAGTGTGAAGAGACTGGTGGCCACGGGAGGTAATGACAGGGGAGTCAGCTGTGATTGTGAAGGGACTGGTGGTCACGGGAGGTAATGACAGGGGAGTCAGTTGTGAGTGCGAAGGGACTGGTGGCCACGGGAGGTAATGACAGGGCCATCAGTTGTGAGTGTGAAGGGATTGGTGGCCACGGGAAGTAATGACAGGGGGAGTCAGTTGTGAGTGTGAAGGGACTGGTGGCCACGGGAGTTAATGACAGGGGAGTCAGTTGTGAGTGTGAAGGGACTGGTGGCCACGGGAATGATCGAGAAGGGAGCGTGGTCAGGTGACTGTAGGATTCGGTCGAGTCTGCGGGCGGAGTGAGCATCCAGAGTCAGCGAGATTGTTCGGGAAGGGCGGTGTAGCCTCGGTCCGTCTGTAAGGGGGAGATGCGCGCGAGACTCGGGGCTGTTGCAGTGTGGGTCTCCGCCTGATGTCAAGTGAACGCGTCTTCAATAAAGTGCCATCTCAAGAGAAGTGTGTCAAGTCGTCATTACACATGTTTATAATCTCAATGCGTGTCCTTTCATTGTACCTCCACGTATGCATTGAAAGCAACAATTTGGCTCACGACCTACACGTGCACATTTTTTTATTCAAATACAGTACACAGAAACGTTCCATTGGCGTTTAGCCAATTGGTGAATTACGTCACCGATTGAGCTATCCTAAAAACGTCATTATCCATGTTTTAATTACGTCATTGATCGCATCACGGGACGTTGCATTGGCGTGCAGCTAATTTCTAAATGGCGTCATCTATTGTACTTCCCTTAGTACGTCATTATCCATGTTTTATTACGTCATTGATCGCAGCTTGGAGCGTTGCATTGGCATTTAGCATATTGCTAAATGACGTCATGGATTGTACTTCCCTTAAATACGTCATTATTCATGTTTTATTATGTCATTGATCGCATCGTGGGGCGTTGCATTGCCATGTAGCTCATTGCTAAATGGCGTCATCCATTGAGCTATTTTGTATACGTTGTTATCAATGTTGAATTACGGATTTGATCGCATCGCGTGACGTTCATTCGCGTGTTACCATTTGCTAAATTACGTCATCAACGGAACTACCCTAAGTACGTCATTATCCATGTCTCATTACGTCATTGATCGCATCGCGTGACGCTCCGGGTCAAAGGTGCTTCCGTTCTCCTGCCGTAGTGAGTCTCGGTCTCCTCGTGTCGTCCTTGTGTCTCCCTATGGTTTTTACGGGAGTCCCATGGCCTCAGGGGATGCATTGGAGCCAAAATTTGCGGCTGTGGGACGAAAAGAAAAGAACCCCATCCCCCTCTCCCGCTAAACGATAAAAAAACGAGCGGCCTAGTGTGAAGCCTGCCTCTCCTGCCAACGCTGCCGGGATTTAGTGGCCTCGCCCGGCACGGCCCGAGGAAATACCGAGGGTCAGGGTCTTTAGACTTTACTTTGTTATTGTTGCTGCATGTTGTTTCGTGTTTAAAACAAGTGTCCGTAATGTATCCCCTTGCTCGGAATCTGTGCTGGACGTTCCACATTACTGTGGCCCGAGGTGGGAGGAAAGTCGTTCCATTGCAATCCGATGTGTTGTTATTCTTCGCTCTTTCGTTAAAGTCACGTTGTTTTATAAATATGTTATAATTTTATTGTTTCCCTTCAACGTGACTTTACCGAAAGAGCTAAGAATATGAATTTACTGCAGTCACGAAAGCTTTAAATCAGATATGTTGTTGTTCGTGGTGATTGATACTCCATTTAGCGGGCCCAGAACACACATGCCGATGATGATGGATGCATTGATGGTTGTTGATAGTGGCGTTGATAACTAATGATGGTTATGACTGGTGTTCATAATTACAGACCGGTTCGCGAACCAGCTTGCTACACTGCCAGGTTCGTGGGTGTCACAAAATAAAAAGTTAATTGCACTTAACTATACTGTATATGCGAAAGACGTTGCAAATGTATGGACGCTGCCTCGGTGGGACAGATCGCCTCTTCAATTCAACATTTCGGCGCAAACATTTGAAACGGTGGGTGCGAGTTCCTCCTAAAAACCGTCCACCGCCTCTGTCCACCCGAAACGTCGTGGCCAGTGTGGAAGAGTAGGCCAAGTACCCCCCTCCAGGGAAGAAGAACATTCTGGTAGGATGATGGCATAAGTATTTGTAGAGATGCACCTGAGGCTAATTGGCTGACCCAAAACTGTACGTACAAAAAAAAACAAGACGAGAGCACATACACACACAAAAAAAGCTATCTTGAATTGCGATAAAAAAAATGAATTCACTTGGCAACTGAATCGATTCCATGCCCGTTGGGCACCCACCAGACCAGTTCTGCTGGGAAGCTGCTTGGGCTGGGTGCGCCCATCTGCAGGAGAAAACTGCTGATGCTGGAACCGACTGCCAGTGCATTCCATTTCTCAGTGGCTCTCTGTGTGAGTGTGGTCCTCTGTTAAGTATGCGTTTTCGTGCGAGTATGTTGGTCTCGTATGTGCCAGTGGTTCCTCTCGTAAGTCTTTGTGTCTATAGGGGCTCTACAAATCTATGGGTCACTGTGGCTGTTGGTCGCTATGCGTCTGTGGTCCCCAGTGTAAGTCTATGGGTGTGTGTGTGTGTGTCTTTAGGTTTCGGTGTAGGTCTGTTAGTTCCTCATTGCCATGGAACATATTTCACCACTGCCCATCCTGCCCCAGAAATGAGATCTTACTATTCAGGGTCGCAATTATATTCAACATGTTTTGTTTGGCTTGTTTTGTTCATATTATTCCTGTCTGTTATGTCCCCATTTTCCCCATTAGTCTAAAGGTACATTGGCACGTAATTAATATAGATTGTATTGATCAATCTTTAGATTCATGTATCCTAATTGATTAATCTGTGCGTTTTTACATCCTGAGATTGTCAACACATTTACTTGCTCAGATGACTCAAGTGCAGTGAGTTAAATGATTCTCAACCCAGTCACCAATGACTTCACCAAAATACATCTCATTAAATGTGGTGCTACATTGAATTTGTTTAAATTCCAGCGCCGAGGTTTAAAATTTCTTTTTTTGTTTTTTCATGGGACGAACATTACTCTCATGGCAGAGCCGGCCAGAAAACTCTCTACTGTGCAGACCAGAGATCCCTTGATGGGATCTCAGGAGGCAGGAGGTAACTCTACGGGACCCGGTTTGGAATGGATAAATCATCTCGTGACGCGATGCTGAGAGGACAATATGGGTGACGTGGGGTAGGGGGGGGGGGGGGGGCGGAAAATTTCAAAAACTATTTTGTGATGCTGACCTCTTCCACTTCAGGAGGTGAATGTCAAACTCGCCAAGCACAAACGTGGCAGAGCAGCGGAGCTCGGCGAGCAAGACAGAAATGGAGGCGGCGAAAGAGGTGATTCAAGGTGAGGAGGAGGAGGAGGAGCAGGTGGAGAGGAGCGAGGAGGCGGAGAAGGAAAATAAAGAGGAGGAGGAGGAGGGAGACGCTGGTTGCGACGACGATTACAACCGTCTGTTCGCCCGTCGCTTCACCGCGGAGGACAAGGACTTCCAAGAATTTTTCAGCCGCCCGGCGGAGTTGCCACCCGTCGTGTGGAACTGGAGGCCGCGTGGCGGTCGCAATGATCGCCGGTTTGACCGGTCAGACCCTCGCACGTCATCGTTATCGTCCCCTCATTTAGCCATCGCCGCAGTGTCACCGCCACCGCCGCCATGTCATTACCGTCATCATTCCATCGTATATCCACTATCGCCAACATCGCCGTTCTATCATCTTTGTCTCACCATCTCATTTTTGTTTCATCATTGGCTCACCACCACCAACACCACCACCACCACCTTATCATTTCTTGGTTGTAATCCCATGAACCGTGATCATTCCGTCATCAACATTAAAAATGTAAAATGTCGATGATGGAATGCTCAGCACTTTGAAATCTAGATTGAAAATGCATTTCTTTTTTAACTGCTTTCTGTGTTGTTTTTTTTTTTATGTCTTTACCCTGCACCTCCCATTAGCACGATTGGCTACGTACGGTACACACACACACAACAACATCATCTCCTCGTTATCTCGCCCCCTCCGACCTTCCCCAGACGTGATCGCGATGGCCGGCGCGGTGAGGGCTCCGACGGGGGCTGGGGGAGGCACGGAGAGGGGGGACGCGGCTCCTATCACCGTGACGACCGATTCAACCCGTACAGACGCAGCAACCCCCACCCGTACAGATGAGGGAGTGCCATGGCAACGGCCTGGTCGCCTCCCCCGCCCATCCCCCGATCCTCAGCGCCACCCCCGCGTTTTTCCTAGCCTCCTCCCAGCAGCATCCTCTGCCCCATTCCCAGCTCCTTTCACTTCTCCCACTGAACTCTTGGGCTTCACCGACCTCATCCCCTTGGCATTGTGGGGGGGTGGGGGCGCGTACGCTGCTTGCCGTACGCGCGTTGTGTTGGAGCTTCTTTTGCGCCGTACGTGGCCAACCACGCTAATCCGGTGGCGTTTCGGAGGAAATTCCCAACGGCGGTTTGGAATCCCCACCGGTCGCCCTGGTTATTACCGCGGCGCGTACCGACTGTTTAAAACGCCGGCGCCGCCCTCCTCACAGCGGACGCTGAAAAATCCCGTGGCGGCTTTTGTGCGAGGAGGCGATTTGGCGGCGGCGGCGGCGGCGGCGTTGGCGTTGGCGTTCCACCCTTTTGGCAAAAAGATTGGCCGCGAATCACTCGCGCGGGGATTATTCGTGGCGATCATTGGTAGAGGACCGAGCTCGCGCGGTCATTGGTCGCGGCGGTCCTGGCTGCTTTCCCGCCTGCCCGCGGTTTCCCCGCGGGCCTCCGGGCGCTGCGAGCGTTCCAAATTGCACGCCGGAGGATTTTCAGCCTCGCGTGAACGGCGCCGTACAAACTGAACGCGTCGCGTGACCGTTGGCCCCGACCCGCCACCCGCTCGTTGAGCTCCGGCGCCTCCCTTCGTGTCGCCGATCTCGTCAACAGTCGCCGGGGGGAATCCCTTGCCTGGGCGAGGGCGAGTTGAGGTTGTGGCCGTGTTCCACGATGGTGAAGTCACGGAACGCGCAATGGGGGGGGAGCGGGGTCCGTGTCGACACTGCTCAGATCTTGAATACACGGGCCTTGGGCGGTCCTGCCCAAGGCCACTTTTGTTCCGTAACGGCTCGAACTGCGTCTTTAACCTGCACACGGATCTCTAATCCACGCGGCGTTTCTCCTCCGCCCTCTCAGAACGTCCAATTCCAAACACGCAGCTCTCTCTCTCTCGATGCCGGTCTCTTTGCGCCCTCGTCAGCTTTTTTTCCGTTAATTTTTTTTATCTTTCCGGTTTGTTCGGTGACAACGTCTTTCTGGACCCATGTGTTGTCAGGGCAGGTAGTGCGCACTGACCTTGTTTCTTCCTCTCCGATTGTTGTTTTCTTGCAACGAAAACGCCGTCCTTCGTTACGCGTTTACGGTCCGTCGCTTGATCCAGCCCGGGCACGGCCTAAAGGCCCGAACTGCTGACGCGACCTCAAGTTTCGGCCAACTCGCAAAAGCGCGTGTAGAGAGCGCCCGGCCTTTGATGATTCATGCAAAACAAAAAAACAAAACAAAACCTTCGGCAGCTCCTAAAGGGGAACTGTATTGTGGTCGTGCACAGTCAAAATAAATGTTGATGCCAGACAGCAGCGGCGATGCAGAGATAGACGACCATGGACCAGTTCCATCCCCGCTGGGACTCGTGACCACAGCCTAGTCGCATATTGGTACGGTTGGCTACGTACGGCGCGAAAGAAGTTCAACGTGCGTGTCGCGTCAGTCGGGCCAATCTGCTGAAATGTATTTTGATGGTAAGCTCGGTGGAATGAGAGGACCACAATGCAGTCCGTCAGGAAATGCTGATGGATGTTTGCATATTGCACGAAGTCTGCATGGGTGCTGTTTACTCAAAAAACTTGCGTCTTGCCGTTTCGAGGTGCCGTTTGTACTTTGGCCAAGAAATCGCCGCATCTTTCAGTCTGCCGGTTATTTTGTAATGCAACGAGAATTGGTGGAAGCTGTCCTCTGCTAGGATGAGGACCTTGTGATGTCTTCGTAAATATTGATAGCACGCTGTTGTGTGTGTGGTTTTTTTTTTATCTACAAATGTTTATATTTTGTCCCGTGGTTCTTTTTCATTTACAAAAAAAGCATCTTGACCGTTGTTGGTTTATAAATTAGAAGCATTGAATAAAATAAAACTTTAAGTTAAAAGTGCTCGGCAAGCGTTGAGTTATTTTTTTTTTATCGGAGCTGTTAAGCCACTTATACTGTGTAGGAACCTCCTGGTTACTACACCACCAGCCCACAGGGGATTATTGTGTCCGTCCGTCGTGCATCCAAAAATGGGAGAGGTGGGGCTGGGTGGGGAGGGAGGGGAGGGGAGGGTGTTGGGTGGGGAGGGTGGGGAGGGGCTGAGTGGGGAGGGTGGAGAGGGTGGGGCTGGGTGGGGAGGGGAAGGTGGGGAGGGGCTGGGTGGGGTGGGGAGGGTGGGGCTGGGTGGGGAGGGGAAGGTGGGGAGGGAGGGGCTTGGTGGGGGGTGGGAGGGGTGGGGCTGGGTGGGGAGGGGCTGGTCACCCCGTGGTGCCCTTATAAAACTCAACGTTTAACCTACTCACGCCGGCTTGTGCCCGCCCTCACAGTCGGGCATATTTGCGGAATGCACCACGTGGTGCCGCCGTGTGACCCTGGCCATTGAGCGAGCAACCCAACGTTCCTACCAGCTCCCTCCGCAGGAGAATGTGTTTGCTGTGCCAAGGAAATCCATCTGTCCATGCGTCCGTCCCGTGTATCTCTCCGTCCGTGTGTCTCAGGCTATGCATGTGGCCTCTAATCCAGCAGTAGAGGCAGCGAGAGTTGGTGGACTACCACAAAACAGATTCCAAGCTCCCCGTGGGCGTCGAGGACGAGCCGCATCATGCCTCGCCAGGAGATGGCAGCACTGCACAGCCGGTGGACTAATCGCCATCTGTCTCCCGTCTGTAAGGGGATAGAGCGTTGCCCCTTTGCGCGTGGCCCGGGGGTTTTCATGGGGGTGCTCCGGTTTCCTCCCACGTGATTAATAAATACGACTAATTAATTGCCTGAACATTTTAGTTTTTCTTAAAATAAAAAAACAATGCACCGGCGGCAGCTTGGGCCCTCTTGGAAAAGAGCTGTACCGTGCCCCGTTCTGCTGTAACGTGCACTGGTGCATACTTGATTATGGAGGGCGGTATTGGCACGTGCATTTAAAGACTGATTGATTCCTACCACTCGGTGCGGATTTCCCGGAAAAGCGAATGAATAAGCATGCGTCCATTTATCTGTCTGTGCACATCTGTCTGTTCTTGTGTCTGTGTTTTCATGTGTCCGTGTGTCCCACAGTCGCTCCGTGTATCTGTTCGTGTGTCTGTCGCTTCGTGTGTCCGTCCATCCCGTGCGTCTTGGCGAAACTTCGCGATCGATCCGATCGCTCGAAACATTTGACCACATTTTCCCGAATTCCAGTGGCCTAACACCCAGATCAGGTTTTTTGGGCAAAAAATAAAAAGTTAAATTCCAACCCTCCACATCGACGGGGAAGAACATCCACGCATGCGCGTGGATTCTTATAAACGCTTCCCAACATACGTTTGTTCTCAAACGTATTTAATTTCGGTTAACCGGGAGGGATGGGCGGTGAACGCGCGTTCTTCCCTTCGTATGTTTGTCGACGATCCATTTTAGCTCCCGTTTGTGTCCTCAATTTTTTTTTTTGGGCAATAACCCATTGATATAGTGTGGCGACTTTATACACTAGCGTCGGTTCTCGTTGCGATGATCACCACTGACGGGAGTTCCCGTGGCCCCAAGTTGCGGACAGAGCGACTTCATTCACACGTTCAATCTTAGAATGCGTTGAAACGTCGTGGCTTATAATCGCGTGGCAGTGTACAGCAGCAGCCAAATACTCCTTAAACGCGCATCGATTCTCAATGTGGAGGGGAAAACCGGAGGCCCCGGAGAAAAATCCACTCGACCGAATGTAGAGCGGCAGCAGCAGGCGTCAGGGTCGGGATCGAACCCATGTTTTCCGGTATACCAGGCGAGGTAGTTAACATCTCATAGCCACCGTGATGATGATGATGATGAGAGAGAGACACGCAAACACCAAATATACAGCAGCAGGCGTCAGGGTCGGGATTGAACCCACGACCTCCTGTACACCAGGCGAGGTAGTTAACATCTCATAGCCACCGTGATGATGATGATGAGAGAAAGACACGCACACACCAAATATACAGCAGCAGGTGTCAGGGTCGGGATTGAACCCACGACCTCCTGTACACCAGGCGAGGTAGTTAACATCTCCTAGCCACCGTGATGATGATGAGAGAGAGACACGCAAACACCAAATATACAGCAGCAGGGGTCAGGGTCGGGATCGAACCCACGATCCTCCTGTACACCACGCGAGGTAGTTAACATCTCAGGCGAGGTAGTTAACGTCTCAGGCGAGGTAGTTAACATCTCAGGCGAGGTAGTTAACATCTCAGGCGAGGTAGTTAACATCTCAGGCGAGGTAGTTAACATCTCAGGCGAGGTAGTTAACATCTCAGGCGAGGTAGTTAACATCTCAGGCGAGGTAGTTAACATCTCAGGCGAGGTAGTTAACATCTCAGGCGAGGTAGTTAACATCTCAGGCGAGGTAGTTAACATCTCAGGCGAGGTAGTTAACATCTCAGGCGAGGTAGTTAACATCTCAGGCGAGGTAGTTAACATCTCAGGCGAGGTGGTTAACATCTCAGGCGAGGTGGTTAACATCTCAGGCGAGGTAGTTAACATCTCAGGCGAGGTAGTTAACATCTCAGGCGAGGTAGTTAACATCTCAGGCGAGGTAGTTAACATCTCAGGCGAGGTAGTTAACATCTCAGGCGAGGTAGTTAACATCTCAGGCGAGGTAGTTAACATCTCAGGCGAGGTAGTTAACATCTCAGGCGAGGTAGTTAACATCTCAGGCGAGGTGGTTAACATCTCAGGCGAGGTAGTTAACATCTCAGGCGATCTCCTCGTCCTCACCGCCCCGTCTCCCCGGCCTACGTCCTCTCGGCCACGCTCCGTTTCCCGTGGCTGCCGCTCCGTCGTTACTCCGCGAACCGCCACCCCCCCCCCCCCCCCCTTTCGAGCCACGAGACGCGTCCTGCCCAAGGCCAAACTTTTTCTCTCCCCCCCCCCCCCCCCGTAAAGGCTCGAATTCCGCCTTTAGCCTGCACCCGGGTCTCTACTCCACGCGTCCGTTCCTCCGTCGCTCTCTCAGAACGTCAACTTCCAAACGCCGCGGCTCTCGCAGATTCTCGTCCTCACCCACCGCTCCGACTCCACCACCAAATCCCGTCGCGCGCTCCATCGCCTTTGGCTGCCGCTCCGCAGTTAGCAAAAACAACAACAACAACAAAAACACAAACAACAACTACAACAACAAAGCCCCGCCGCACATGGAGCGCGAACTCTGCTCAATGCGGTGTCACCGGAGGCTCAGCCACGACGATCGTCCAGCCCTGTCGAACGTCTCACACACAGCAGCACGCGAACAAAGCATTCGATTTGTGGAGGACGTCGAGTGGGGCGATTCGCTTCCATCCCGTATCTGTCCCTCCAAACCGGTGTCGACATTTGGTGTACCCCACGGGACGAGGTTTTTGTTTGTTGTTGTTGTTGTTCTTGAATCAACGCCGAAAAACACCGTCTGGTGTTGTTTGGCTGCGCGCAAGCTACGGGTTCCAGTTTGACGAAACCAATTCAAGCAATCCAAGACCTCAAATGAATCACCACCACCACCACCGTCATCATGTCGATGCACGTGAGTCAGGCTTGCTTTTAAAACCAATGCTGGTGACCTGCCAGATGTTTTAGAGGCAAGGGATACCCCCTGTCCCCGCCCCCACCCCTCTCTCTGTTCCATGAAGTCAGCTTGAAAAAAAATGTTCGGCCCGTATTTGGGCCACTGGTGCGTTGCACGTGGAGTTTCAGCCAAAAGCGTGAACGATTAGATATGTGGGGACTTTTCTTGGCAGTGTCAAAATAAAACAGTTGTGTTCAGATGTAAAAAAAAAAAACATCATATAAAATCCCTCTTCAAGGAATCCTGTCTGCATTAACCACACATATTTTGTGGTGAACATGCAAATACAAAAAAAACACGCTCTGGTCGGAACATGATGATGCATTCTGCTCGAAACTGATTGGTCCACACCAGAGACAGCTTTCTTTAGAGCCTCGTCTCAAGCAGGATCAGACCAGAGAACGCCAAAAAGGCGAACAGTACAAAGGCGATGCCACTATCATGGTCATTTATACCTCGGGGTGAGCAGCTACGCTATGTGACCCTTATTGTTTGCATGTTCACCACACAAAAGTACCGTGTGCGGTTAATGCAGCAACAGGATTCCTTGAAAAAGGATTCCGTTTGGTGTATTAACATCTTAACACAACTGTTTTGTTGCCAGAAAGGGTAAAACCTCATTCTTATATTTTTTTATATACTGGCACCCCGAGCACTCAATGCCCTGATAGTGGCATCGTCTTTTGTACTGTTCGCGTCTTAGCGTCCTGTGGGTCTAACACCGTTCGAGACGAAAGCTGTCTCTGGTGCGGGCCAATCAGTTTCAAAGACAGTGCACCATCGTGTACTACCAGAACGTGTGTGTGTGTTTTTATTTGCATGTTCACCACAAAGTTCAGCGTGTGGTTAATGCAAACGGGATTCCGTTTGGTGTTTAAAAATCTTAACACAATTGTTGCCAGAGAGTGCAAAGTCTTTTCTTGTATCGAGAACACACGCAGAACACACGCAGAACACACAGAGAACACACGGAGAACATACAGAGAACATACAGAGAACACACGCAGAACACACGCAGAGCACACGGAGAACACGCGGAGAACACACAGAGAACACACAGAGAACACACAGAGAACAAAGAGAGAACACACGCAGAACACACAGAGAACACACAGAGAACACACAGAGAACACACAGAGAACACACAGAGAACACACAGAGAACACACAGGAGAACACACAGAGAACACACAGAGAACACACGAGAACACACAGAGAACACACAGAGAACACACAGAGAACACACAGAGAACACACGCAGAACACACAGAGAACACACAGAGAACACACAGAGAACACACGGAGAACACACGAGAACACACAGAGAACACACAGAGAACACACAGAGAACACAC